AGAAACAGTTTCCCATTACTGTTGAACCACTCGTAATAACCGTCAGCAACCAATAAGAGGTCAAGTAAAATTGGCTCTCTATGGGGAAGGCGCCGATATCGATCCTCCCACAACACAACCCACGCATGATGCCTCACCAGCCAATCTGTATCTGTCTTGCCGCGTCTATCTGTGCTATGCAACTCGTCCATATTGCGAGGTGCTTCCGTAATTGGTTGAAAACAACCAAATTGCCGGAGCACGCGATCAGTGGAGTGCCACTCGACGGTCGCATAACAGATCAAGGGGATCGTCGCCATCCAAACATCTGATAGGCCCCTCAACTCAGGTGGGATCACCGCCCTCACATCATCAGTAGAATATGACACCCATTCAAACTAAAACAAATATATATAATTTTTATCAAAATAATAATATAATTATATAACTATAATCTAAAATCGATTTTTAAATATTAAAATTCATACCTGTGTGCCAGCCTTCTGATCGATTTAATTTTTTCTAAATCATTAGGTAGCTCCTGATGATTTTTCCTATCAGTAGACCACCTATTTAAGAAAAATAATTTCTTATTCACTGTATAAAATTATTAATATACAAAATCAGTTTTATAATTACCTTAGGAGTAGCGGAAATACGAATGGGTTCTTGACAACAAGACATAAAAAGGGCAATCGATACCATGCCCGAGATTGTAGCAGCAAGATACATCCGCTGATAGCATTACTCCTGTAGTCAATGGCTCGACACATCTCCCTGTACAGGCAAGCCAAAACTACCGTGCCCCAACTGAGTGATCCTGCCAGATAAAAGTCGCCAAGATGTTGCAACCACATACAGTGAACTTGGTTGCATGATTTTTCAGGCATCAACAACCCTCTTATCAGCTGCAGTATACATGCCCGTGCATACTATTTAACTTCATCGTCAGACGCGTCCTCGCTCAACTCTCGAAAATTGGCATTAAACCAATTTAACAGTATCCGTCCACTGTTAAAATTTTTCGGGACACGTCCTAGACTAACCCGACACAAAGTAGTCCAAGAACCGGAAGTTATCCTTGATATCACACCTCCATCCATCGGAAGCCCCAGGTGCATAGAAACATCCTCAAGCGTGATCGTGCACTCTCCGCACGGAAGATGGAATGTGTGGGTCTCCGGCCTCCACTGCTCTACTAAGGCAGAAATAAGGTATGGTTCTATCTTACAATGACCTTGATATCTACCTAGGTGACCGAATCTAGCCTCTAGTAAATACGGCATTACACGAGTAAGTATAACTAACTTAAGGTTCCTAATAAAATGATCTAATATACGGTCTGCTCCTAAAATATAAATAATTACACAAATTAATTTTTAAACTAATAATCATGCATTAAATAAATAAATTAATTAATTAAATTAAAACGTTAAAATGTTATCGTATCAGCAAAGTGTCGAGATATATGATTTCCATCCAACCAAAGTAGACCGCCTTCCATTTTATATCTGCAAAAACAATTAATTAAATAAAATATTAAACAATTAAAATAATTAAATAAATTATTAAAAAATACTAAATATATTAAAATATACGTTAATAAGAGAATATAAGAGTATTTGAGAGAAGTTGAGAGGATTTGATGTGATTAAAGTGATTGAGAATGGGGGTATTTATAGGGAGGGATGGGTGTGAACGGGCGGGGGTAGGATGGTAATTAAGGGTATAGCGCGCCGCAAGGGTCGCGTCTTTCTGACGCGTGTCAGAATCACAGGTAAGGCGCGGCCCCTGCGGCGCGCTATACCCTTAATTACCATCCTACCCCCGCCATACCCACGTGTAATCTATGTCAGCATAAGGCACGTCGCAGGAGCACACCTTACCCCACGTGGCGCCAAATCAGCGCATAGCGTGCTGCAGGGGGCGCGCCTTACTGTAAAGGGTGTTAGATCGAAAAATATAGTCTGACTGGTGTTAGATCGAAAAATATAGTCTGACTGGTGTTAGATCGATAAATATACCGGTCACCGGTGATTTTTTTGGAAAAAACGCCATGGTATTAGGCCAATTTTACCGTGAATATTAAGACAAAGATCTTTTGGATCGACTGTAGACTTTAAAATATTAGGGCAGAAGATATTAGAGAATGAGTAGATCAAATTACAACTAAAGTGGAAGGTCGGCCCAATTCTCCTCTGGCTAGGTTGGGTATCACATTAAGTATATAATATATACTTCGACAAAAAAGTAACGGACCTTCAGATATCACTATTAGATTAGACTACGTTAGGTTATGTTCTTTGTCCGATATTTTCTCTCTTCTTTCGTTTAAATTGAGCTTTAATAATTCTGAACTTCGTTAACTAATATGGATTAAGATGGCTCAATATTTTTTCAGATTTTTTTCTTTATATTTTTATAAGGCTTTAATGGAGGTTTTTCTTTTCACCTTTTGTGTGTAATATTTTTGGATTTATTACAAAGCATTATGGAAGATACATGGAATTTGATAACAAAGAAGATATCGTGCATTAGATTAACTTCGCAAATTTTTATTATGAAAATGAATTTTATTTGATTTGTGTTTGTTTTGGTTTTGATGACCGATGTGTTTGATATGAGTTTTTTGGGTTCTACTGACGAAATGGTCGAGAAAGATGATAAAAAAAACTTAAATTTGTTGATAATGTATAGCATAGGTTTTAAGAATATTGATTTTAGTTTTTTTTAAGATAATGCAAAAAGTAATTTATTTTAATTTTTTAAACCAATAATGGGTTTTACTTTAGTTTTATAATTTCTTCGTTATGTTATGATAATAAAATATAATGATTTAGTCTTGACGCCATTTTAATGACAAACCATGATTTGAACAACTTCATATGTTTTATAGTTCGTGCACATGAAATCCATGCAAATGATGAAAAGGTAAAAGCAACACGGGACTATCCCACACTATCTTCCATCACCAAGAGTTATCGAATGGGGTTAGGTGACCCTCCTGACGAGTTACCACCTAAAAGCCCTAATCACTATACCATATCAATGAAGAATCACAATTTACGAAAGCCAAAAGGTAAGTGTTTTATTATTCATTTTAATGATATTGTAAATTATTTTTTCTCCTTTTTAAAAGGTAAGACTCTTGAAGTTGTCATTCATACTAAACACAACTCCTTTAAGTGCATAAAAGATTGAGGTAATCAAAACATAGTAGACGAGGCACTACCACGAAGGTATACTCTTACATATCAAACACATACTACTATTCCGAGAATTGAACATATCAAAGATGTATATCACGATAACTCAGATATTTCTGATATTTATACTCATACTTTTAAAAGTGCTTTTAATGTGCTTTACCTTGTATATGGGTTTCTTTTCCAACTAAATAGGTTTTGTAGTCTACAAATCTCCTCTCGATAATTCTTAGTTCATGAACCACACTTAGGAGACTTAAGAGATTACTTCAACAAAGCAGTTGACATAGTTTTTAAACACTTATTCTCACCACACACGAATAAAACCATGGAGAAAATATCTGAAGCAATCATACAGAAAGCCAACAGTGGCCGGCGCCATGTTGAATTTCAACCTAAACATCATATTAAAAGACTTGTATGCAAAAGAGGATTTCAAGACTACAATAAATCAGTTCCTACAAAGAACAAACTTCGACTAAAATGCATAAAGTCACATCACATTAATCTTGGTAAATGTTTCACAAGTTTTACTTTCAACACATCTAATTCTCTTTCTCTTGGATTTTCAGATTCGAGGACGAATCCTTTTGAGGTGAGGTGGAATGATACATGCACCAAAGTCCATAATGATAATACATGCTTCTATGAATAATGTTTCTACTCAAACCTATTAGAAGAACAAAGTCTCGAAGATTCAAATCATATCTATTCGGTAAGCATAATGTGAATGAATCATTAAACGATTATAATGTTGCTCTCTTTAATGTTTCATATTTGAGGTCAAATCTTTTTGAAGAAAGGGAGGATGATAAATGCATCACAAGGCTCACATCAAAGGAAGAAGTAATAACTCTTCCAAATGACCCACTCGTCTAAGCCTTGGAAAAGAAGACCAGAACAGCAGTAGACTTGCGATGACTTTTTGAATGAGATCCTGATCTTATTTGGTCAACATGTCTTCTGAATATACAACCGACTGTCTCTTATCTTTCCAATAGATCTTGAATTGCATCAATCCGGTATCAGGAACTCAATATATGATCATTTTAGTGAAGACAATGTATGCAAAAAAAAATCCTATACGGGATTAATACGAGGTTTTGTAAATATTACGAATTTTTCAAATTTTTATTGATTATTTGTAATATAATTTAATATAGGATGATGCATTATTTTTTAGGATTAGATTTATTATTTTATTAGGAATTAAAGTTGGTTTAAAACATGTTTAGTTTTGTTATTATTTTATTCCTTAGTTATTTAGGACCTTTAGAACTCATCTCCTATATAAATGAGACTTTATTCAACTTTGTAAAACAAATTTCTTTGATTAATAATACAACGAGAGTTCGTTTTTACAAGTGATGATTGCCTTGTTCCTTTGAAGCTTCTTCTCATGGAGTTCTTTCAAGTTTTTGTGAGGGAGATTAATATTCACACTCCAACTTGCTTTTTCATCACAACTAAGAGGGCTGGTTAGAGTCATATTATCGAGTTTGCATTTTCATTGCGATTAGGAGGGTTCGATAGGACACTTATCTACCTATTTTGCAGAAATCCATCTACACCATCAATCATCTTTACCGATAATCTTATAAGGGAGATCTTTTGATTTCTTTATTATTTTACTTTATTTTCAATTTCTTTATCTTTTATTTATCTTGTTCTAATCTTGTTGCTTTGATTCTAACACTTAAAAGAAACCCTAAAGAATCTTAGCTATTGTCGTCACCTTCCCCTATTAATTTCCCTTTATTTTTTACTAAGTCTAGAGTTTTCTAAATTTGATTATTCAACAAGAGTAAAAGTTGATTAACCCGTCACCGCTTTCCTATCAAGAATGCGGTTAAATATGGCAGAAGCAACATCTTTCAGCGCTAATGTATGCCCCTCATCGAGAAGCTCAATCAAAGGGTTTAAAGCACCTGATTTGCCAATGAGTTCCTTGTTGGATTCAAGAGCAGATAAGGTGAAAAGGGCAGCAACTGCATTGCTCCTTGTTTCAATAGTTCCATATCTTAGACCTTCCATAAGCAGAGTGATGGCCATCGGCCTTTCGGCAACCAACTTCTTGTTACCGTCATGAATTGAAAGATTCAACATTATCGTAATCACATTTTCCTGGATATCAGTGTGGAGAACGCCGCTTTGAGATTTGGATCCCAAAAGCGGGGCGAACAGTCGAGGAATGGGGTTGATGGATTCCCCGAAAAGGGCACGGAACGAAGGGGTGTTCTTCATCAACAACCGCATCTCCTTCGCAGCTTCCTTCAGATGAGGGCGCTGCGGCGGACAACTTATCTAGCAAAGAAAAGAAAAGAAACGATAACGCTCTGCTTCCGTTACACCTTCAACACCATGCTGAACCGGGATTTGCAATTCAATTCCTTGATTGTCGCACCACTGCGATATCATTTCATTGATGAGGAGATTCGGAGTTAAAATTGTGTGCGAAAGAACTTGTTGGGTATGAGGGCAAGAAGATTCCCCGCTTTCAGCCATTTCTGCATAAAGATTCTATCATATGTTAGCCCGAAAGTATGGCCCCATCATGCACTTACGCCTCGGGTTGATGCCCGTGATTGTCGTCTCGTCCCCGGAAGCTGCCGAGCTGTTCCTCAAGACACATGACCTTGTTTTCGCTAGCAGGCCGCCTCAAGAAGAGTCAAAGTATATTAGTTACAATGAACATAACTTGGTCTTCGCTCCATATGGTTCATACTGGCGCAACATGCGCAAGATGCACACCTTAGAGTTACTTAGTAACCACAAAATTAGTACAGTCAGATCCATGAGGAAGCTAGAAGCCGATCTCTTAGTTCATCGAATTAGAGAGGCTGCTGCTGCTGGTGTTGCTGTTGATATCAGTTCTGAAGTCACATCTTTTAGTATGATGTCGCTTGTAGAATTGTCATAGGAAAGAAATATAATCGTGATGATTTTAGTGAAAAAGGGTTCGAAGATACCGTCCGAGAGACTATTCAAATAGCATATGCGTTTAATTTAGCGGATTACATCCCTCAAATTAGAGAACTCGATCTTCAAGGGAAAATCAATCGCAAGAAAGCTATTGCCAAGGATTTTGATGACTTTTTAAGAAGATATTTGAAGAACACGTTGAATCTAAAGATGAAAACAGAACCAAGGACTTCATAGATGTCATGTTGGGATTCATGGGATCTCAAGAAACTGAGTACCGCATGTAAGGAGACACTGTCAGAGCAATCATCTTGGTACTCTTTTATTCCTCGATATATGTCCCTTTCTGAACTCGTCTTTCACGCCTTTCGATCTAAAATTTTGCCCTGTACATTTCGATTCTTACAGGACATGGTTGCAGCTTCAATGGATACATCGGCAGCTGCGACCGATTGGACAATGACGGAACTCATCAGACATCCAAATCTGACAAAGAAACTCCACAGGAACTCGAAGATATGGTAGGCATGAATCGGACGGTCGAATAATCGGACCTGGAGAAATTGGAGTACTTGGACATGGTTATGAAAGAAAGCTTCAGGCGTCATCCAGTAGCGCCATTGATTGTCCATGCATCTAGGGAAGATTGCACGGTTTACGGTTTTCACATGCCAAAAGACGCACGCAGCTTTATAAACGCATGGGCTATAGGTCGGGACCAAAGGGTTTGGACCGATGCTGACAAGTTTAATCCGAAAAGATTCGTTGGAAGCAACATTGATGTTCGACAAAACTCTGATTAGGTCGTAGAAGCTGCCGAATGCAATTGGGTCTCAACATACCCAGCTTGAGTTTAAATTTAATCGAGTTAAGTTAAATATGTTTGATTTTATTTTAAATTATTATTTAATAAATTAATAGTGAAATTATCTTTTACTAAGTGGTTTTAATCTGCGTATCTAAATTAAAATGTTGTTGCTATAATTAAAAATAACAAAACGGGATGGGGTTTATAACTAATGGGCTCAGATAGAGTCCAAAATCACGAAATCCACGGCGCTCCACGGCTGGCGGTGGTCTTCTTTCGTTAAAGAACCAAATCTAATCTAGTGAAGATAAATTATGAGATCCATTGATGTTAGAAAAATAATACCATTGGAAAAACAAAATGTAGACACCCATTTTCTTCTTATTTTTTTTCTTTTTTTTTTCTTTCCAAAAAATAGAAATAATAAGAGTTACTCTCTTAGGAGGACTCTTCCACCTCCATATCTTTTAAACTAACAACCACCATATCCCATGAAATCCAATATCCCACTACAACTCAACTTCCCCAAGAATCCCATACAATTTGGACTCTCACCATCATCTCCCATACATGTTGGATATATGAACTGCAAAACTACACCGTTAGCACTGATTGAAAATATAAACAGTAATTAAAAGGAACAAATTCATAAACCGTGTCGTGGAAAAAAACCACTGCCTTAGAAACGAATTCGCCCCGATGTGTGTAATCGTTGCAGTAGGCGGACCGTCCCCCGAGGTTAACACGGTCGCTCCGTACACCCGAAATCGGAGTGGACTGCCGGTGGTATTGCTCTTCTTATCGGAAAGCACAGAAAGAATAATTGCAGAAAACACTTTGAAAGTGAATTGTGAATGTTGAGAGTGAGTTGGGAAGCTGAATATAACCCTCTATTTATAGGCTAGAAATAGGGTTAAAATCGTCCATAAAATTTCAGGATTAAATCTCTTCTTTTGTAACAGCTGAAACATCTATATGAACCTGACTAAAAAATAGTCCAGGTTCATTGCATCATTATTCAGCTGTTATAACTCCTGAAATTATATCATGTAACCCCTGAAATTAAATCAAATAAATCCTGTAACTCCTGATATTAACAGCTTGTCTCCTCTGTACAAAGCTGGAAATCAGTCAAGATACATCTTAACGTTTTTGATTTAATTTAGGAAAAAACTGTTTAATTTCTGATAACTCTCATAAACCAGCTGTTATCATTTGAAATTAAACAGTCCTCAGCAGCCTATAAATATCAGTTGAAATCTTTCATATTTTTCCATTTGTTTCTTTCAAAGAGAAATTCCTCTAAAAAGATAGTATCCGCGCGGACGTGTCGAAGACACGTATTACCACGACCACGACCACGACCACGAGCCGAGACAGACGGACGGCGGTGGTGGTGCGCGAGAGTCCCCTTTGTTCTCTTTCACTCAACAAGGAAGTGAGAATTCCATACTATAAATACTCATTCCCAATAGTGTTTCCAATACTATGTGGGATTGAGCATTACCAATAATACATCCCTATTTAAACCCATCTTCATACCTTGTAACGGGGAGGAAAAAAATTCTGAAAAGAAAAACAGCAAAAAAAACACAGAATTTTGAGAAGAGAAATCTGTGCAAAGAAAAAGAAAGAGCTCTATAGATCGAGGGAGGTAAAACAAAAGCATCAAAGTGACGAACGAACTTTTAAGTCTTGAATGAGCTAGCGTTCAACATTGAATTTCCAGACTTAAAGAAGGTAACAAAATCAGAATTTGGAACTACTTTCTTGGTATATCTGCACGTTTTTGGGTTTTGTGTGATTAACTGTTTAATGTTTTCATTCGTCTCTAATTTGCTTCGTTGAACTTGGCTTTAATTGCTCAATTCATTTAATCAAGATCCTTGTTCTGATCAATGTTTGAATGGTGGTATCTATCGAATTGATTTTACCCTCAATTACGTGGTTGCTTTTTAATTTTTTTAGTTTGATTGTGAAACATGTCTTAATTATTTATTTCCTTGATTAGCCAACTGTGGATTAACGTGATTAATGTGCATAATCGGTGATCAGATTTCAGCAGCTTGGTTAATTAATTTGTTCTCGACATGTAGTTTGTAATTTTGATTTCCATAGTTGATTTGCGCGAAATAGAATATGCCATTAATGCTTTAGAATTTCACGTCTTGATCCATATTTGAGCATAACTTTTAATTTGTAATTAAAACGTTAATTGGTTCAATTTGGTATAAACTCGCATGACTGAAGTTATTTTTGGCCTGTATCTTTTGATTAGGTTTTGATCTCCATGATTGATTAGTATTTTTTTAAAAACAATTTATTAATGGAATAATTGGATTTAAGTTAAATAATTAATATTGCTAAAACTCACATTATTTATTAATTGGTTTTAATTGACTTTAGTTTTGACACCTAGACACTCACATTAATTATTATGATTCGTAATTGGACTATAGGGAAATAATTTGATGATTCAATATTTATCTCTCTTTTGGCCTTAATTAAGAATTTAAATAATAATTTTGATGAATGTTGTTGAAATTGGGTATGTTTGAATCAAATATTTTTTGATTTTTTTCGGTAGTAATTTCAACCAATCAGAGGTAAGTAATTCGAATCGAATATTTTAAATTTTAATTTTTAATTTTCGCAATTAAAGACAACCGAAAAATTAATTGGTACCGAAAGGGCGGTTCAAGGGTACTAATCCTTCCTTGACAGTAATCGACTCCCGAACCCGACACGTTTATGGTACAACGCAGATCAGATAAGATGGTATCCGACCCACCTAAATTCTTTTTAAAATGGTCGGTGGCGAATCTAACCCAATTATTCAAGTCGAATCCCAATTCCGGGGCACCACCGAAAGACGGTTACGACACAAAATAAGAGTGAATAAAGGAGCGTAGAGGCTGACAAAGGAAATGAAATTAGGGTTGCCCCTCTTAAAAGAGTTGTTATTCTTCTTAATCGGTTCAAAACATTATAATTTAATATAAATGTTAGAATTTAAACTTACATAAGATAAGATATATAAATATCATTGAAATAGAAAAATATAATATAATATAAGACATTATCACACTTACAAACCTGATCTGAATTATTGATAATTTAAGTTATTATTAAGCTTTAATTAATTTTAATGTCATTATCACACTTACAAATTTGATCTGACATGGGAAAATAAAGATATTTTAGGGCATCCCATAATTCTAAAGGTAGGTTAAATGGTGATAACATTCTTATTCTCTTAACTCTAACTTTTTCCTAAAATTATATATATACGCATGCATGGCTTAATTTGAGTACATGGATTTTTACAAGTAAATTAAATAAGGAATAATGGTATTAATGCATTTGTATTCTCGTGAATCTTTCAATATGGTATCTTTACTTTCTAAATATTTAATGTATTTTAATTTCATCATTCAATATAGCATTTGGGGTCTAACAACGTAAATTCTAATTTGTCGTGATACATGAATCACCCTAATAGTGTCTCGTGTCACAATTCTAAAAAACGAGAAGTTGAGAAACTTGGAAATAATATAATATTTTCTTCTTTAAAAGAAATTCTAATTTCCCATAAGTAGAAAACACACAAATCTGAAATGCTTTGAGGTTGGTCCAATAAGCAAGCTATTATAATTAGCTCAAACTTCTTAAACACAGGCCCCATTTATCTCCCGCAACATACTACAATTTATTTTCATTTTTTAAATACTAACAAATAAGGTATCATTAATCATACTATTAGACTTGTTAAATT